GGCGTCGGGGGTCTCGTCCGCCAGCTGCCAGGCGGTGAGCTGCTGCAGGGTGACCCCCAAGCAGAAAGCCCTCATCGTGCAGCTGGTGAAGAAGCACAAGAAGGCCATCACGCTGGCCATCGGGGATGGGGCCAACGATGTCAACATGATCAAAAGTGAGGCTCGGGGCAGGGGGGAGTGTGGGTTTTGGCTGGCGCATCCCGCTGGTGGGGAGTGGTGGTGCCCCACCGGCCATCTCCACCATCTCACCCTCTCCTTTGAGGAGAGGAGCTGGGCGGGGAACCCCCAAACCAGTTCTCCACATTGATGTGCCGGGAGAGGAGCAAGAGGCACAGGACCAGGACCAGCCTGGGACAAGAGCAGGGTGGACCACTTGCTTTGGCAGCGGGGATGAACCTTAATGAAACTTCAAGCCCTAACCTGGGCAGCTGGCAGAGACATCCCTGCCCCTCTCCAGCAGCCCTGACATGGGGCTGTGCTCTTTGCACGCCCAACCATGCCTGGCATGTCGCTCCCACAGCCGTAGCATGTGATGGAGGGGGCTTCTTCCCTTTGCCCATCGCTCCTGGATTCACCCTCTGCCCATCAGCCTGGGGGTGATCCACAGGGAAATCAAGTACCCGGCTCCCCGAAAACCTCCCCACCTGCGTTTCACACCCTCCTGTCCTCTGCAGCCGCTGACATCGGGGTGGGCATCAGTGGGCTGGAGGGCATGCAAGCCGTGCAGTGCAGCGACTACGCCCTGGCGCAGTTCTCTTACCTCCAGCGCCTCCTGCTCGTCCATGGCCGCTGGGCATATCTGCGCATCTGCAAGTTCCTCCGCTACTTCTTCTACAAGACCTTCGCAGGTCTCATGGCCCAGGTCTGGTTCGCTTTCCACAACGGATTCACGGCTCAGGTGAGGGATGCTGCCATTAGCAGGGGTCCCATCCATCCCATGGAGGTTTGCACACCAGTGCAAAGGACTGGTGAGGACCTCATGCAGGTCTTGTGCCTGGTACTGCCTGATGGACATGTGTCCACATCACTGCCCTGTGGTCCTTTCTCCCTTGCCCTGGTATTGGGCTGTCCAATTTTTTGGGGTTGCCTGGCTGAGATGCAACTGGTTATCTGCTTTTTATCTGGCTGGATTGGGAAAAGCATCCTGGGGAGATTTGGGATGTCCAGTCTTGGACAGATGCAGGGAAAGATCTCACGTGCATTAAGCTGGTTTTCTCCAAAATGGGAGCTCTTATCCCAAGGGGTGTTAGTGTGACTTGACCACCACTGTGTGACTCCAGCCCCCCATCTCCGTCTGGCAGCACAGCCCCACAGCCCACCGATGGCTGCAGACAACGTGGGGCTGATGCGGAGCCTGGAGCAAGTCCATGGGGATTTCCCCAGAGTTTGGATGCGAGTCTCTTGGAGTCACCCCTGGTGCCTGGGCATCCATTCTGAGGATTCTTTCCAAAGCACCACTGAGCTCACAGCTGCTTTCTTCTCCCTTCTAGCCTCTGTACGAGGGCTGGTTCCTTGCACTCTACAACATTTTCTACACCGCCTACCCCGTGCTGTCCGTGGGCCTTCTGGAGCAGGTATGGGTTCACCGGGCTGCATCCAGCCCCTCTGCCTGGAGGCCGCATCCTCGGCGGGTGTGTGAATCAGCCCGGTGGTCGTTGCACCCCATCTGCGTGGCTCTTTGGGCTGGGACGAGGTACCAAGCAGCTCAAATGGGCATCTGTAGGTCACCACCAGGCCTGGGGTGCCTCTGTTCCCCGTCACCCCAGAGCAAGCGGGTGGAGAGACTCACTGCAGCTCTCCTGAAGGGTGTGTTGGGTGGGATGGCCCAATCCTGCTCCCCAGGGTGATGCTTAGCCCCCTCCCGGCAGGACGTGAGTGCCAAGAAGAGCCTGGAGTTCCCTGAGCTCTATGTGATCGGGCAGCAAGACGAGCTCTTCAACTACCGTGTTTTCGGTGTCACCCTCCTGCATGGGGTCAGCACCTCGCTCGCCAGCTTCTACATCGCGCTCTGGGCCTTCGAGGACCGCGTCGGCAGCAAGGCTGTTGGCGACTACGAGTCCTTCGCCGTCACGGTGGCCACGTCGGCGTTGCTGTCGGTCCTCATGGAGGGGAGCGCCGGTCTGCTCTCCGCCATCCTGTCCCTGGGGGAGATGTTCAGGGACCGCAGCTGGGCTCAGCCCTGGGTTCTCTGACATGATCCTCAGCAGCTTCATGGCTGAGGGACGATCTCCCTTGGGGCAGGGGAGGAATTAGGGACGAGTGGCTGTAGGGAAGAGGGTACCCACAGCCTCTGTGTGCGCTCCCCTTGCCCCTGCAGATCATCCTGGACACCAAGTTCTGGACGGCGTTGTCCTTCCTGATGGTCACAGCCAGCTTGCTGCTCTTCTGCCTCTTCTCCTTCCTGACCCAAAGCATCGATGCCTTCAGGATAGCCCCTGCCATCTTCCGCTTCCCAGGTGAGATGCCCCGGCGAACCCCATGGTCCTTCCCTTCCCTGAGCCAGGGGAGCCCAGCCTGGGATTGGTGCTACGAGCTGTTTCCCACCTTGTAGATCATCTCTTTATTGCCACTTCTCGATCTTGCTGTCTTGATTCTTGACTCCAACTTAGGTGCCATCTCCTCTTTAGAGCCCTCAACACCTTTGTGGGTGGGGGCCTGTCCCCTGACAGTTGTTCCCTCTGTTCTCTCCACCTTCCCTACATCACCCACCGACTTCTTGCGTTGACAGACGCCAGCCGGAATGCCTTGACCGACCCCTACATCCTGCTCGTGGTCCTGCTCTCCCTGGTGGTGAACACCATCCCCTCGCTCACTGTCCGCTTGTATCGCACCATCGCGGGCAAAACCACCATCCAGCAGGTGAGGGCTGCGCGGGGGCTGGCATGGGGAGGGGTCTGTCTCCTGCCCGCATCGGGGCTGGCCAGGGCGCTGCCGGTGATGGGAAGGGTGAGGTTCCCCGGGGAAGCCACTGCCTGGGCTGTAGCGATGGGATGTCACCTCTCCTTGGTGGCACCACTCAGCTGGTGGTGGTGTCTCATGACATTGGTGTCCAAGTTTGGCTCCAGGGCCCTCTCCTCAAATCAGTTCATGGCCCAACAGGAGGCCTTGAGGCAAGAGACCTGCTCCAGCTCTTAGAGAGGGTCTGCTTTTGGCTGCAGTAAGAAACTGCCGTCTAGGAATCCCTGGAGCTGCCGCTTAGGAGGCACTGGGGTCTGGTGCAGGTCTTGGTACCACCCCCAGCTTTGGTCATACCTTGCCATGGTACAAAGAAGTCCCAGATGAGAGCAGGGGTTGAGACTGTGCTCCAGAGCTCCAGGAGCTTTGAAGACGCCATGAGGGTCCCCATGTTATGCATCCCATCACATCAACTTGGATCATGATGGAGCTGGGAGCCAAACTGTGTCTTGGTGGAGGGCGTCCCTGCTCAACCTGCATGTCCCCCCTGGGGGTGAGGGCTTGCCTGGGAGGTGGCCACAGACCTGATTTCCCCATCTCCTTGCAGAAGATCCGCCTGAAGGCCAGGCAGGAGCCAGAGCCCTCGGTGGAGCTGCGTGCCCACGTCCCTCGCAGCTCCTTCC